ATGGCACTATCAGGATGTAGTCACATCCTCCTATGGATTGTCTTTCAAAAGATATTTGCAATACTTAAGAAGCACCCATCAAAAGATTAGTAGAAACCCAAAATAATTCTCCCTAAGAGCTTACAGAATGGCCTCTTTCTGTGCTGAAATGTCTATGTTAGACATCTTCATGAAAAGATGGATTGTATTTTTCATGGATGCTTTAATCATTTATAAATTTAAATCCTGTCTGAATGCAGTACTTACTGCCTAACTATCATATTCTTTTTTCCTTCAGTGCACAAACAGAATTAGCACAGTAACTGAAAAGTCTGCATGGGGTTTGCAAACTAGGTGACAAGTGTTTGTTTACCGGCTGTATTTTGTGAAATTAAAAAAAAATCTAAATCACAGATGGCTCAAATCAAAACTACAGATGTCTGATCCTGCTGCTGTTTGGCATGATGGATGAAAGTTTGCTGTATGAACATCATGCCACAAGAATAACAACTTGTATATTTTGGCAGTCACCGAGTTGCAATTGAACAAACACTTTTCACGCAAGTTTTTTTTAAAAAAGTTAGGATCAAAAGCAAACGGTATAGAATATCTAGAGAGTCGTAATGCGAGAAAAATAAGCGAGAATGTGAAAACAGTTAATTATTATTGGAGAAAAAAATCATGGTTATGGAAATGGAGTTTACATGAGGTTATTAACAAGGAATTTAGGAAAACAGGCTATTCAGCCCATCCAGACAATTCTACCATTTGTTAGATTTTAGCAAATATTTTCATCCCAATGCTCTACCTTTTGCCGTACTTTTAACACCTCTATTGCCTGAGTGACTGTCTATCTCTCTTATAACCATCCCTTTTATAATTTTCTTGAATGATTTAGTAATAATACTGGATGATTGATGATGTAAAAGAGAAAATAACCTTCTGCAAAGGTTTTGACAACACAATGAGATGCCCTGAAATCAAACTGAGAATAAATTTCAATTATTTAAACCATGGTGTACCATGATTTAGTTCAATCATCCAGGTGTACTCTTCATCTATAATAGACAATCATGTTTTGAAAGAATACTCCACGTCCAAAAACGATAATCATCCTTGCATTTGAAATAATATCTACTCACGTCTTCGAAACATCACAGGATTTTATTGTGAAACCTAGTGTGTAGTTGTAGGCAAACACTGCAGCCAAGTTATCCACGCATAACGATGGTGTGAATGTCTTAATTTATCTGGAGGACTGCGGGCCAGGACATGGGGAGAGATGCCCTTCCCTTTTCGAATAATGCCATGCGATTTTTAACATTGAGCTGAACAGGCACACGGGACCTCAGTTTAATATCTCACATGACCCACGGCAGCTTTGACAACACGGGCACTCCCAGGCTGCTGGGTGAATACAGGTAAGGACATAAACTGAGATTGTGAGTATACAAGTGATGGATTATATCAAGTAGAAAAAAAGTTTCATATGAAGTTCCAGAGCGTGGGGAGAGAGAGGCTGAAGGCCCGCCTGCCAATTGTAGGGCGGGCAAGGCAGGGGACGTGAAGCAGGCCCAGCGGAGGGAGCGGACAGGTTGGTAGGGGGTTAGCTGGTCAGGAGCTAGAGAGGAGCAAGGCCGTGGAAAGTTTTCAAGGCGAGGACCAGGATCTTGAACCGTATCATCTGAGTGATAATAATTAAGTTCATTTTTTACATTTTCAATTACACTCAGGTAATGTTTAACTTTAACTGTAGTGTTTTAAAGTTAAGATATATATTTCAAGGTTGAGTGGCATGAATATTATGGTATTGCATTCTCTCTTAGTGTTAGAGTGCCAAAGAGTGAAATTGTATCTAATTATTTAGTTCATTGAGGTATTTCCCCCAAATGTGGCAGAACATTAAGGGTTAACTTGAAATTTCATGAATAGCATTGATTAGATAATACAATTTACACTGACAAAATGAGTTTAAACCTCATCATAATCCCAAGCTTTTGATTGCATTTGGAGCACACTTGCTTATCTGAAATTCTTGAGCAGGTTATAACCTTGCACTTAAAGAGATTAGGGTGTAAGTCAGGAAACTGGGGTGAAATGTTTCAATGCTGATTACATAACACCCTGGAAGTGGAAGGATGGAAAACAACTAAAGATCTAATATTTTTTTAAAGCCTAGAAACATGATTCTGGGTATAAAGTTCTGCGAGATTGACGTGCTCTGTAGAAAATATTGGAATGCATTAAGAAGGAATTGATTTAAGCTTCATAAAAACAAAAGCAATAAATGCAGAGCAATGCGGTTTATAAAGAATAGGTCATGGAATACAAATCTTTTCAAAACGTTTGTACCAGAATTAGCGAGTGTTGGTAAAGAGGTGGACTCTACATACCATGACCTCCAAAAAGCATTTGATATAATGCTGAACAAAAGGTTTCTGACTGAAATGCCAGCTCCTGAGATAATGATGGATTATTAATTGTCCCAATAACAGAAAGCAAATGACAGTGATCAATGGCAGAAGATCCTATTATTTAGCCATGCTGTCTAGAATATTTTGGGATATAATACGACTGTTTGTGGGATGCTGCTATGCACAATCGGCTGCCGTGTTCCACCCACAAAATATACAGTCAATTTACTTTACAATGTATTCTTTGAAGCGCTTTGAGATGTCTCAACAATGTGTTAAGGCGCTATATCAAATGTAAGGATTATTATTATTTGTCCTGAATCTGTACCTTTCCTAATACTTAGACAAGGGGGTGAAACATAATGTGATAATGTCACATGCCCCATTTCCTGAAAGTATTGAACACTCAATTATGCAGATAATAATAATCCTTGCATTTCATATAGTGCTTCATCATGGTCTCAAAGTGCTTTACAGAATTTTCTATAAAGTGCCAGTGACTGTATTTGTTAGGTGAACATGGCAGCCAATTTGCACAGCAAAGTCCAACAAACAATCGTGAATTGAATGACTGATTTTAACAGGAGTGTTGATAAGCAGGACATCAGGTTAAACTCCCTTCTCTTTTCTGCTAGTGCTGGATTTGTTGGAGGTGCCATCCTTCAGATGAAACTTTAAATCGAGTTTCCATTTGCCTATTTAGGTTAACATTAAAAATCCCATGGCAAAATTGAAACGGAGGGTTTCCTGGTGTTCTGGCAAACAATCACTCAATGAACAAATTAGTCATTCACTTCATTGCTGTGACACTTGTGTATGCAAACTGAGTGGCCACATTCACCTACAAATGCTACTGTACAAAAATGCTTTGAAGCGCTTTAAGAACTTTTGACGAGATAAGGAGGTACGTCAAATGCAAGGACTATTATCATTATAGATTTAAGTGACATAGATTCGTTGAAGAGAGCTAAGAGAAAAGTGACAAGGTTGAATTGAGGACTAAGATTCTAGCATAGGAAGAGAAATTCACAGAACTTAACTTGTGCCCATCAGAGAAAAGAACATGATCCAATATTAAGACAAATGGTTACTACATATAAGATTTCACCTCTCCACTCATTCTCCAGAGGAATATTTGTATATATAGATAGTCTTCGAATTTCAAAAGTAATGAAGCAAAAACTGCAGAAAATTAATTTTCACAATTCAGTCCCAGTCTCCTTCCCTCAACAGACACCTCCTCCTCCTTGCTCAGTCTCTGTAGCACACAAATCATTGTGTGGAACATTTGTTCATTGCTCAGTCCTCACCTATCCCTTTACATTCTCCAATCCTGTTTTCTCCTTTTGTAAATGGAGAACTAGAGGGTGCAAGTATAAAGTAGCAATGAATCAAACAAATCTTTAGATGATAAATATTTAATCTTTAGTCATAACTTAAATTCGGACTACCCATCATCACCGTAGTTGCTGAGCTCCATACTCTCAAGGGCAGTGCAGTCAGCTTACCAGACCTGCATACAAGTGATCCAGATGGTGGTGCGACCAATACTTTATGACGGCAAGAATATGACTCTTTCAATTTATGCTATGTCCCTGTCTAATGGTATTGTTGAATCATAGTCTATAACTTATTTTACAAGGGATTTGGATAGATGCTTGAATATTAAAAGGTATGTGGTATGAGACAAGAGAGTGGTCTGGACAAGCCAACTCACATAGAGAAAAATATCAATGCAGATGTGATGGTCTAAAAGGTCAGTTTGTAATATTCTAGAATTTTATTCTATGTTCCCTCTCTAATGCAACCCAATACCTTACTTGTCTTTTTCCCATTGTTAAATACTAGCTGTTGATATTTTAGAAATTCAGAATAACCCCAAGCTGTCTTTGTGATCAATTCCATTCAACACACATCCCCTTTGTTGACCCCTTGCTCTCAAACTATTTATTTTACATTTAATAACACTTATTGAGTTAAAGTGTAAAGTATATTTTGTCATCTGAAAACATTATGCAAGGGGCTTATTTTTGTTATTATACAGCTCATGACTAATTAAGTCCTGACTAAGTGGAGTCCTGTAGCTCAGTGGTTAGAGCACTCGCTTTGCAAGTGAGAGACCTGAGTTCAATTCCAGGCAGAAGGAAACCTTAAGCAAGTTTCCTTACTCCACACAGAGCCTAATAATAATCCCTCCAAAAAACAAAACAATAATAAATTGGTCATTTTCAATCTACGACTTGGCTGCCGCGTTCGCCCACAAATATACAGTCAATTCACTTCACAGTATATTCTGTGAAGCGTTTTGGGACGTCTAGAAGACGTGAAAAACGCTATATCAAATGCAAGGATTATTATTATTATTATTAGAACCTCTGTTTTGAATATAAATTCTGTTTAGTTAGAATTTGTCTAAACAAAATCTTTGCTCCATTGGAATAAAAAGTAAATCCTCCGTGTTTCCTCAAGTTCACAATGAAGAGATAGGAGGTATAGAACTAGCAGCTGATCATTCTTGCTGCTACACGTGCAAAGCAAGAATGATTGTGGAGGGAGTAAAATCGATTTTCTATTTAGTCTCTTTGTAAATCATAACTTCAAACTGACCCGTATCGAGGATCCAAAGCGATAGCGCGAGGGTACACCATGGCACCTGCGATTAAGGTTGTCCGCATGCTGCCATCCAGCTTCGCTACTTCAATCTGTTCCATTTTGCTGTCTATCCAATAAATGTTTCCAGCAATCCAGTCGACTGCTAAACCTTCGGGAGTGTCTAGACCATGTTGCACAATAACTTCTACATTGCTCACAGCTGAAAAAACAGGTGAGAGAGCACCGTGGTTAGAAACATAATCCTTTCAGCATTAAAACAACATAGTCAATTGGTAGAACACTGTTCATTTTGTCCAATTTGTAACTGAGCAAAGCGCAAAGAAAATTTACGATTTTCCAACATATACCAACATATTGCATAAGTTTTATGTGTTTGCGGGACTCAATTTTTTTAAAAAAAGGTTTTTCTCCAAGAGCACAACATTGCCTACCGAAGCCTGAATGAATGAATATAATTTAAAAATATATATCCTTCGTTCTATTTCTGCTTGAGTTACAAGTTGTGCAGCAAAAATTGCAGCAATTCTGTTTTTTCTAGGACCTAATTGAATATATACAGCATCTAGAAAGCACAAAAAAAATCTTTCATGAGTGCAACTTAGATCCTTGTAGCTCAGCATGATCTTTGTTCCACCCAAGGAGTGTTGCTACCTTTCCAAACCAAACAAGTAGCATAAGTGGGCAACTTATTCCTACCAGCCTTTTTTTTTGCTGCTTCACATGCAAAATAAAAGACTGTGCCGCAGAATGATAACCGAAAACATAATGGTGCAACATTAGTAACTAATGTCATTGACTACATTTTTGTTTACAGGTACAGTTATCTTGGGGATTAACACAAGAGTGGGTAATCCTAAATACCCACGGAGAGTTTCCAATTTGCACAATTGTCAAAAAGGTACATTTTCTTACATCTGAACCACTCAAACTCAACTTTCAAACTGATTAACACCCAATATTGAACCTACATTAGAGCTGCTGGTGAGTGCAAGTGCGATAATTCTGTATTCATAGGTTTATTATTACACTTTCTAATAATAAACCCACAAGACCATTGCGAAGCTCTAAAACAACAATAACAAATTATATTTGTATTGCAGCTTTCACGTTGGGAGGATGTCACAAGACACTGGGCAGTCAGGGATTTGGACCCGAGCAAGGGATTGGGAGCAGGAGTGGTGGAGGGCAGGGAGGGTAGGGTTAGGAGGCTGACCGATGGTGCAGTTGAAGAGGACGGTTTTGAGAATATAAAATATCATACCTCCGACCTCAGAGAGCTTTCCTTTGTAAATTTTATCTTCCACAACATCAGTCCAATAGAGAGAGCTTTGGTTGAAGTGAAAGTCAATCGCTATAGTGTTCCTCAAGCCAGGGACTAATAAATTATAGTCCTGTTTGTGAAGATCTAGCCTTCGAATCTCGTGACGAATGGAGAAAATTATATATGGCTCAAAAGGATCTGTTGAATGAAGAAAACCCAGATCTAAGTTTATTACATGAAATCAAACACACATTAAATGGAACGGTCATTGAAGGTTGGCATGGCCTACCTAAGCTAATGCAATTATCACCGTCCACTGCAAGCATCCAGCCCTTGTAGCAGGAGCATTTAATTGTCTTTTTGTGCTGCTCACACACTTGGCTACACTTGAGGTGTTTACTGCAGTAGTCGAGTACAACACAGGTCTTTTTATCTGAGCTCAGATGCATTCCTGCAGGACAAGAGCACACGATGCCTTCTCCAGTCACAAACGTGCAGTGGTGACTGCAACCTCCGTTATTCAGAAAGCACTCATCTGTGAACGAAAGCATCCATTTATTTTAAAAAGAACAACTCCCAAAGTCTTATCAAATACCCTTTACAGGAGACATAATTCAAAAACAACAACAAAATCTGAATTGATGGTTTCTGCCACAGTAAATCTTGCAGTGTTACATGACCTTGATCTCTCAAAGCACACCAACATCATGTCAAATATAATGAATTGTTATCGGATTGGGTTAGGTCATTTTGTAAATTCCCTCTACGTGTTGATTATATTGAGTTGCACTGAGTTTCCACCTCAACCTTGCATCATTGAATCAAATAAAAAAGGACAAACATGTCTCACAGGTCTTCCCAATGGAGATATTGAGGTAAGGAAACTATTAGTTACAATACAATATTACATTTGTATAGCGCCTTTCACATCAGGAGGACCTCCCAAGGCACTGAACAATTAGTGTTTCGGACCCGACCTAGGGGTCAGCATAAGAATCACACAGAAAAGACACATAAGTAAAGACAAGTAGAATTTAAGTCTGACATGTCAATCTACTTTTATGTTTAGATAAGATCTACTGCTGGGAATCTTTGTAATCAGATTTATTACTCCTATTTCCACTTGTTGAAACTGACAGATTGGAAAGGTCCAAACACACGAATGTTTAGCCATGAGGCCAAAGCGGGAGGGATTCCAATTTTGGAGGTCTTATTTGACTTGATATGTCTTTGTACTAAAAAAATAAACTTTGACAAATGGACCACGTGGGCTAAAAGAAACACTTCTCAGGAAAGTGGCAGAATTACTGCTAATTACTGTTGGAACAAGCACCTCTTGGCTTAAACCCTATCTCCAGCGGAGAACAACACGTATATCATGCTGAGACCTTGGTTCCAAGACTATCTCAAGATAGAGCTGAGATTCTCAAGATAGAGCTGAGATCTTGAAAATTGGTATGACATGCATAGGGGTTCCCTATTGAAGATATAGTTTATACCACAAGGTGCTTTTTTTATGGTAGTCAGGTGCCAATATAACTGCCAGTTTTTTTTAAGTGTTCCTTATCAACTCCATAATTAAATGCTGAAACAAAACCATTAGGGGTGAGATTTAAGAATACAAAGTGAATAAGTAGGGAACCATTCCTCATACAAAATCAAAATACTTATACAAATATTTTATTTAACAATCATCTAAACTTAGTTTTGAACTTAAATCATAGTTTGGCTAAGTTCTTATGTTCCATTTGAGTCGACTTGAAAAATTCTACTAAAGAGTGGGGCAAATTACAATCAAGCATCTGCTGAGAAAATATCAGTCATTACATTTACACTCTGTTGTAGATTTGTCAATTTGTGGGTATGACCTTTGTTCACTCCACAGACAAGCGATGCTATGTTGTGAGTGTTTTGCTCATCAAGGTAAGCTTGGGATTGGAATTCTTCCATTTCAAGATCCCAGTGTTAGCATTAAGTGTCCTCAGGTTAGATATAGTACAATCAGCTGCAGGGTTGTACCAATTAAATAACCCCCAGCCCCCACAGGGAATCTGAAATTTGCACAAAGCATCCTTTTGATCCATCACAATGAGACCGCCAAATTAGGGCCAGTTTTATGCTGTACAATTTTTTTTTGGTCAACCAGGTGAGAAACCCATCATGATGCTTAAGAGTAACCAAACTGAGATTTCCATGCATCCCATCTATACCATGGAAATTCCAGAGATGTTTATTGGAATGGGATGCACACATTTTCCCTGGAGAGAAGCATCCTGTTTACCTAATTATGAAAAGTATTAATTGCAGGTTGGCAAGAGCCAAGGCTTGGGGATCCAAAGTGTGTACTGGATTACTTCTGGAGTCTGTCCAGCTAAAACTGCATAGCTTGCCATTGAGCGTATTGCCTGGCAGGCTTTCCTGCTGCTTGTCTAGCTAGGGCAATCTGACCTGTTAGGGTTTTGGCTTGAAGATTTAATAGGAACAGAATGGGAAGTCCTGCTAATGAGCCAGGCTGGCTGTGCTGTCATCAGCAGTGCCTTGAGGTACTGCAGACCCACCTGGCTCAGGAGCCCAACTACCGAGACCACCACAGAGGATGGGCTCGATTCTGACATTCCGTTGCCAAACATGTCACCTTGGAGCCAGTTCAGCTTCGAGGAGGATGCTATACAAATGTTGATTGATTGATTGGATTGAGAATGTTCAACTCTGTTACACATTCATTTATGCTTATCTATTGGTTCATGTCAGAGACCAATTTATACCTGTGAGTTCACTTTTATGAATATTTGATACCTGAAACAGATCAATTACTCTAATTTCATTTTGTAGGAAATCACCTTTCCTACAAGATGAAAAGGCCCCAACTGATTCAAATCCTTTCTGCAATAAAAACATCTGTAGTTTCGAAGGGTCATTTATAAATATGAAGCCTGAAACTCGTTCTTTATTCAAGAAACATGATCACTTCTGGCATTACTTTTCTAAATTGCTAAATCTTTTATTTCCCCTTCAAATTCTAATAACAACAATATGTTTGGTATCGAGCCAGAGTTTCTGCCAAACCTTTAAACTAAGCAGTAGGAGAACCTACCACAGAACGCACTCTCATCTGATCCATCTGGACAATCTTTTTTCCCATTGCAAAACTTCTCTGGCTGAAGGCAAATTGAAGTGTTTCCAGCACAAGGGTAAGTTGGTGGTTTGCAGCCAGATGTTCCACAGCTCTCCTCATCCGAATGGTCCTCGCAGTCACCATCTCCATCGCAGACCCAGGTGATGTTGATGCATTTTCCTTTGATGGACAGAATACAGTGAATTTACTGGATGGATTAATGTACAGTGCTTCGAGATATTTCAACATTATATGCTGCATTGGCATCTCTCTAAAAGCAACTTCAAGCACTTTTAAGGCATTGTCCCAATGTTGGAAGTCCTGTAGCTTAGTGGTTAAAGCACTCGCAAGCAAGCAAGAAACCTGGATTCAATTCCCAGGAGGGTGAAACATTGGGCAAGTTTCCTTACTCCATACACCTCTGTTTACCTAGCAGTAAGTAGGAACCTGGTTGTTAGTCCATTGGCAGATTGCTTTTCGGAGGTGATAATCCCGTCAAAAAATAAATAAATAATAATTTGGTCACTCTGTTTGTGGGAAACTTCTGTGCGCAATTGGCTGCCACTTTTTGCCCACAAAAATATATAGTCAATTCACTTTACAGTGTGTTCAGTGAAGCGCTTTGGGACGTCCTCCCGATGTGAAAAGCGCTATATCAAATGCAAGGATTATTATCATTATTATATTATTATTATCATAGGGTTAAAGACGTTATTTATATATTGTATTGTAACTTCAATTTGAACATGGTCACAAAATCTACTCGGGGCCCAAACTCAAGCTCAGAAGAGGGAAGGCGAGCAGACAGTTCAGATTGAATTTCTTTACACTCATGAACCTATGGAATTGGACAAACAAATGAGCCATTTGAGGCAGCAGTAAATTCTAAAGGGATCTCAATAACTATTTGGCAATAAATTAATTTTAAAAAATCTTGAATTTGATATGGGGCCTTTCATACCTAAAGTGAAGAGAAAGTGTATTTCTCTCTGAGACGCCGTCCGGCGTGGAGGGCGCTATATAAATCCAAGTTGTTGTTGTATTTGGTAAAACAAAGCATACGAGACATGGATATTACAGCACAGAAAGAGATCACTTGCTCACATGGCCTATGACTTACATTCACAGAGTTATGTACGGTTATTTTTACTTTGAGACTGGCCAGAAAGACCACAATAATCCTTTCTGTTTTGATGGACTCCTGACTTCCAACACATGGATTACTGTACTAGACTTGTAAACAGTAATTGTTTGCTCAAAGCATACGTATTATGTATTTAGGTTATACGGATGGGATATCTGCATTTGTGTTTTAATTTTACTATGTTGCTCCAACTGTGTAGTAACAGTAAACACCATACCCGTTTTACTCAAATACTGTAGTTTGTTTAATATTTCAAGTAGATATGCATTGCTTATGTTCTTCGGAATTTTTCAAAGGTAATTAGACAGTTTTGGTGTATGAGAGATCTAAGGTCTGAATTTACTCATTATATTGTGTTGTAAAGATAAACAAGACAGTATTCAGCAATACTGCTCCTCTCAACCATGCCTCCAGCAATAAGATATTCAACAGATATATATATTTTCAAAGGATAGAATACATCACCACAGGATTTAGCTCAATGTAATTTTAAGAATTGTTTATTATTGGGACTGGCATTCCACCACCTGACAATAACATGTACATGATGCTCGTGAGCTGAAATACTATTAAAAGAGGATTGAAAGAGATAGATAGATAGATAGATAGATAGATAGATAGATAGATAGAGAGAGAGAGAGAGAGAGAGAGAGAGAGAGAGAGAGAGAGAGAGTAAGTGAGCATGCTTCAGTAACAGCACTATCTATGAAATGGAATCACTGAACTATTGTGTTACGCAAAATACAACCGCTTTAGGCTCAACATAAATGTTCAATTAGTCTATTGTTAAATGTGTTTTATATACTTGAAACCCACCAATGTAAAGCTTATTTAGCACAAGCTAAATGTGATAGAATGTGGGATAGAAAGGAAAGTTGAGGGTCAAACAAGACGCCAAGGTTCTGGACTGGCTTAGAAAGTTGGAGTGTGCATCCACGCATGATAATGCTGTCAGCGCCTGAGGTGAGGAGGTGCTGACGGGAGCCAGTCAGGAGAGCCTCGGTCTTGTTGATGTTCAACTGAAGAAAGTTAGCTCTTATCCAGCACTTGATGTCTGACAGACATCTAGAGATATTAACTAACAAATTGTTCACCATGTCCAAAAATGTAGGCTTTGCCTAAGAACACAAAAAATCCTCTGAAGTTCTTTGAAGTATTTCTACATTGTAGACACTAGTATTGAGCTATATTGTAAAATCACTTAAGTTCACAACCCCAGGAATCATATTCAAGTGGTACAGGGCTTTGTTTAGGCCACACTTGGGAGTATTGTCTACAGTTCTTATCACCAATTGTTCAAGTGCAATTCAAACCATAGAGGCAATGCAGAAATAGATCAACAAGGTTGATTCTCAGTGATAGAAGAACGAGTTTCAAGGAACAAATGGATAAGGTAGGATTTTCAGTTTTGAAAAAATGTATCCCAGAGGCTAACTGAGATAGAGAACTTGAATTCAGAACAATACATCCTGACACGCCAAGGCAGCTGGACAAGAGACTATAGGTTCAAGATCATAAAACACAATTTTACAATAATAGTATTTTTTTTTATAGAGGGTAATCAACAGCTGGAAAAGGGTAGTAGGAATCGTGAAAGTTACCAGAACTGTGGATTGATTCATTTAAGAAACAACTTGATTCTGTAATGGGCAGAAGATTCAGTGAAAACAGAAAGGCCAAAAGGGCTTTCTTCATCCCTATTGCTCCTGTGATTGTGTGATCTTGTGAATCCAACGCTAAACTTATTGGTAGGTTTGTCAGGTTCATCGGAAGGTACAAGTCGTATCGGCAATCACACACATTCACTACTGAATGGGTCACACATACAATACAGTAATAGTAATATTACCAGAGTCTTTACACCTAAATTCTGTATGGGCGTCGCAACGTCTTGCATTTTCTTCACAGTTGTTTTCATCGCTGCCGTCTTCACAGTCCCAGTCCCCATCACAACGCCACCGCAAAGGAACACAATGTCCATCAACGTGGCACTGAAACTGCTTTCTGTGACAACCATCGGGTGGCCTTGTGGCTGTGGGGAGAATTAAAACACTGAAATCACCAGTATAATGGATTGTAAACACTCTTTAAATACAGATGACCTTGATTCATTGAAGAGTTTGCAATATTCTTTTTAACTTAATTTCTAGTGTCAGAGAATCCAAGTGGAAAGGAGACCTATTGTGAATGCAAGGCCTACTTTTTCTTCTGAATAAACAAAGGGAAAGCATCACTAAGTATTGAGATCACACAAACTCTTTTACAAAAGATATTTGTTCTTCCCTTCCTTTCTGAAGGCCATGATTTATATCAGGTTATGGTGTAGATCACAAGATATCAAGTATGTGTGCCAAATGACCATTTTTCACACATCGGTTTGGAAAAAAAATATATTGGTGCGCTGAATGCGGCATTTCTAATGTGATCCCTTGATAACAAATCCAAATTACACGAAGTGGAGCTCCATCCACTGACTTTTTAAATTTGTCAAATTAACCCACGGGATATTGATTCATAAACGATTCGGGTGCTTGCCGGCTAGTGGAATTTCTAACTCTTATGAAGAAATCTAGCATAATAGACCACAATAATTTTTTTAAAAATGTCAGTATAAGTCTTTCAGGTGCTATATTAAATTGCTTCAGGGCAGATGACATTCAGTGCAGGATACAGCGAAGCAAGATTTATAACACTGTACCATATTCTTGCTCTATACATGTGAAAATTCCACCCTAAGTGTTACGAGTTTTGGAAATGAATACAGGTAATCATTCAAAAAGCAAACCTGGCTCAGTGCAGTTAGCTTGGGTCTCATCGCTGAAATCACCGCAGTCATTGTCTCCATCGCAGATCCAGTGTTCAGGAATACATCGACCATTGTTACACTTGAACTGAGAATTTGAACATGAAGGAGTGCAGCCCACCTCGTCACTGCCATCTCCACAATCATCCTCTGTACGTACAACATAGCATTAAATATAAAATTACCACAAAAATGGACGGTGTCAAAAACAATCAGATGAGTGAGATCATCGAGCTTTAAGGAAAACAAACAGGGGACATGAAAACTGAAATAGCTCTCATCAGACCCAAAAGTGCAATACAGAGTCTATGCTGTAGGCACTATTATTTAGCTCTGAGGTCAATGATAGCATTTTGCATCACTGTGAAAATATAACGTCAACAGTAATGGATAAACAGAAACTGAATTTCATCATAAATCCTGAAGAAAGTTTACGACCTTGAAATCCGGTTTCTGTTATGTGTTAGGATAGAGGAGAAAGTGCAAAAACAAAATATGTCAGTGAGAGCAGAGTGTGCGTAGATGCCACAGACTGAGTAAAACTAAAGTGAAATGATTCAGCCAATATTGATAGACATGCAAGGATGCCAGAGGAAAATTTAAAATTTCACTTCAATTAATTAACTATGAGAGTCCGAAAAGCAAAGGCACATTGAAAGGAAGGAAATTGCTGACATGAAGACTGAGTAACGTAAAGAATTATGATGGGGATGTCGGGTGCATGTGGTAATAATGTTTAAAGTTTATTTTTGAACTTCTGCTTGCTGCTCTTATAGATATCAAACAAAACATGTCAAGGGCTTTTACTGGTTACAATAAATCTCCATCTGATGTGCATCTGTTGCTTATTATGTACAATCCATTAGAAACAATATTTTTAGGTGCAAGTTGTTATTGTTTTATGGCCTGATGAAATTACACATAATCCACTCTCAGTCCTCTCCAACAGTTGCATAAAGATCTATTTTATTTCCTCGCCGCAAGACAACAAACAGGAATAATATGGAAACAGTTAAAAAAAAATCTTCTGGCAGAAAAGTGAGTGCCGGGCATTAGCTTTCACTTCAAACCCACAATAAAAATGAGTTGATGCATAAAATAGCACCTTTTAATGTTTAATGCTTCCATTAGATGTTAGCTATTAGAGGGCCATCATTCATGTCACTCACCGTACGTGATTGTATTACCTGAATCACAGCGCCATTTGATGGTGATGCATCTTCCACTATTACAGGTGAATTGTGTTAGAGGAGTGCAAGTAGGGAATGCTGTTGGGGGGAAACAGATTACTATCACAAGTCTACAAACGTCAAAGAATCGCCATGTAATATCTAGCAGCCTATGAATCAATCGCAGGATACACTTCCCAAAGAGACCTGTACTGTTCACTTTCACTCCCCTTTCTTTTTCCTGCATTATTTCTTCACTACATTTAAATATGCTTCTTCTGTTGGATTCTTGCCAGGTTTGGTTCGGATGGATGACATAAGTATGGATGACATTGATGAGTTTTACTGAACTAAAAGGCGGGCGAAGGGGGGAAGATGGGGGTGAGATTGTACTTACCTCTTAGGTATAAACCTTGGCCGATTACTTTTTGATGGGTTAATTCATCACTTAAGAAAAGGCCGGGGTAAATGTCAGTTGGCAACTCATTGATGTAATAAATGGGCCAGGCTGCTTGCTAATAAGGTTCAAGAGATAATGTAAAAAATAAATCAGGATATGAAGCACAAGTCCTCGACTGCAAATGAGCCCATGTGGACAGGAGCCTTCTGCAGATGAAGTATAAGCAGTGATATGTAATATTTTATTGGTCTAAGTGTACTGAATAGCAGAAACAAGGTATAATGTGTTCGATAATAAATTCATATTTTAATTGAGGTTATACTGTCAACTCTGCATTGTTTTTGCCTTGGGCTCACCGTAACTGGAGTGGAGCTCTGAGAAGGCACATTTAAGCACGAACAGAACTCAGCTAATCAAGCACCAAATATACATTACTGCTTATCAATATTATTATTATTAATAATAGTAATAGATGATACTACTTCCCACTTCTTAATAATGTTGTTAAATTTAGGAGCAAGCAATCAGACCACCTGGGGGTGGGTTTAAATTTAATACCTTCACTTTTAAAAGTTTACTCCGTTAGTAACCAGAAAAGCCTTTTAGCTATAACTTTTGATATCACTCAAAATTGGGGTAATTTATAATGTAATAAATATGGAATACTGTACGTCCGATCGAGTCCAAATGTTATTTAAAGGAAACATGAAAACTTAGGCATTGTAACTTTGTTTTTTAATGGTCTTGAAAGACTTATGGACCAAGGGATGCTTCCCAAAACGAGAGACAGAACACAAATATAGCAAACGAAAAACAAATAAAACAACTAATCCATACCTCCATCTTGAACATAATTTAAATTTGAAACTGTATAGGAAAATATATATACTATGATAAGGACCCTATCTAATAATAATAATAATAATAATCCTTGCATTTGATGTAGCGCTTTTCACGTCGGAAGGATGTCCCAAAGCGCTTCACAGAACACACTGTAAAGTGAATTGACTGTATATTTGTGGGCGAACGCGGCAGCCAATTGCGCACAGCAATGTCCCACAAACAGTCGTAGAATGAAAATGACCAATTTATTATTGTTTTTGGTTTTGGAGGGATTATTATTAGGCGTGTGGAGTAAGGAAACTTGCCCAAGGTTTCGCCCTGCCTGGCTATATTCAAGCACTGATTTATAATATCATTAAAATAAAGTATTATAACCTAAAACAAAAAGAAAGGTTTCCCTAATAGTCTAATACAGATGCCTCCAAGAGGCTAACTTGTGATGGACAGAAAGAAAACTGAGTTATTCGATCACGTGGGACTGGAGAAAATTATTTTGGTAGGGAAAGGGAGCTGTGGGATGGGTGATTATGTTTGAGTATTTTTCCTTAATTTCCATTGAGTTTCTAGAAATACTCCAAGACCCTGCCCCACGTGAAGGGCACTATATAAAGTTGTTTTTGTTGTTGTAAAAGGATCTCCAGGAATTAGAGTGGCAGGGCAAATTCCATGACAGATTCAATGTAAGGTCATGGAAGGAGCAAGATTGACGGGCTGAAAGTCCGATCTCAACACTCGCTTTCCTATTTCTGTCTTTGCATTCATCACAGAGTAAGAGCAATCGGATATTTACCAGCTTTTATTTGCATCATTCAAAAATACAACAATACATCTGTTCAAAGTTCCTGATTATCATCGAGAGCTTTGAAAGAAAAATAGAGAAAGCGAGCCTGGTGTGAATTACACAATAATACAAGGGAAAAGTTGTCTACCCTGTTTCAAAAGAAAGAGTAAAGACTCCTGTGTGGCTCAAAGTGTTGAGACTTTAATTAACAGTGAATTCACTAGCAAATGTGCAGTCTACACTTGGCATAAAAAGTGTTTTAAAATTGTGTGGGGAAATGGTCAACTGATTAAAAACATATAAGGGACACAAAAATACAGGCTTTCAGGCATGAAACTCAATGTGATAAAAATCAGCATAGATATTTATAATATGTTTTGAGGTACTTGCACTTTAATACCCACACACGTTTGATTAAGAATTTTAGTCTAATTGTATATTGGAATCATAACAACGCTCTCTAGTTTAATTGTTTCAAATAAAATTGGCAAGAGCAGCTCATTAGCAATGATAGCTCTATATACTTTGGAGAATTGAAAGCCGATTTCAGCACACAATGGTTCAAACAGATCTACGTTTATATAATGTGAATAACATTCTGCTTGCCAAATTTCAGATATGTAATGTGTCTGTATGCATTACCTGCAAAATACATTCTCAGGATAAATCCATTTTTCCCTGTCATAAACACTTAGTGGGTTAATAGAAATCAGGACTTGCTACAATAAGACAATTTGATAGCAGCTTGGACTGTACAAGTAGATTCATAATTTACCTGAAGATAGTGAAAGAAATATAGAGGGTATTAAGTTCAAATGGAAACTGGCAAGATTTTAATGAAAAAAATGCCCTAGCCAGATGAAAAGACAAATATTAACAATTTATTATTTCCTACAAATTTCTAGTAAGGTTTGTGAAATTTCACAACGATATAAAAATAAAAATTAAGCATTCTGTCCAAAAGAATATATGGCCAAAGAGACAGGGTTGAGGTTGAACAGTTGTTAGAAAAATGCATTATCTCAAAGCACTGATATTTTTACAATACATTGCTTGAACTTATTAATGCCTCTTTAAAATTCAAACTGAATTCCTGAAAATACATTGAGCGACAAAACTTAAATAATGAATGTTTAGCATGTAAATATATGAAGACTTGCTCTATGTGGGGTGAAATATGAGACATCTCAAAGACATGATAAGGTGCTATATCAAATCCAGGGATCATTATTACTATCCAATTTTCTTTTTAAAAAATCTACGGACTCTGCTTCAACTACAGTTTATATGGAAGTGAATTGTCTGCAGTCTAATGTTTTTCCCTAATGTCTTTAATTTTTTTTTCTGGTTATCTTAATTTTGTGCACTATACCAACTGACCTGCAACAGTGGAAGTAATCTACTACTAATTACCCTATCATAACCCATCATTATCTTGAAGAGTTCTATCAAGCCATCCCTTAATCCTCTCAGCTAAAGTGAAACCAGACTGGGAAAGTGCTTGAACACAAAGCAACTCATGGTGCCATCTGGGCCATGTTTGAAAATTGGGTTAGGTTAGTATTCATCAAATTGGCACTGAAATGTTGCGATCCACAGCAACGACAACAAATTACATTTGTATGGTGCCTTTCACGTCAGGAGGACATCCAAAGGCACTGAAAATTGGTTCCCTGTTGAGAATGTCACCTTTTTAATCGGAAAATTGCCTTATTTAACATTTTGGCTGAAAATAAAAAAATATAAAAAGTAAAAATATGGGCAACAGGTAGACTGTAGTGCAACCACTTTCAAAATGTCAAGGGATATCCAGCAGTTGAAAATTGCCAAATTCCAATGATGTGATAACTTCACCGCTGGTAATTGTGGCAACAAAAGTCATATTTTCACCCTCACCTTGCGAATAGATGTTAATTTGAGAAATATCATCTCAACAGACTATAAGGAACAAATTCAAAACATAAAAGAGAATGTGTAATCTGGCCAGAGATTCGATGCAAGTTTCCATCAAAGATGCACCACTAGAATTTTCTGTCAATTTCAATTTTAAATGTTTCTCTCTCTCGTTTATACTTCTGTATTGACTGTTATGATGGGGAAAGTGGCATAGTCTAATATGTAGATATTCAAGGTGTTGCTGTCCATGATTTGAGCACAGCAAATGACTCCTTTCAGCCATAGGGCTATTCCTACAAAGTTTGCACTAAGTATGAACTGCAATAACCTAATTTTGAATCTACCAATCTAATGTTTATGTAAACAACGTCAAGGGCTTAGCACACAGTAATCAAGCTGCATACATGCAGATACACATATGCCATCCACACAGCAACTGTTTTCTATTTGCATTATCATGTTTGCAATTGCTATCTATACTGGACTGGACCCAAGCATGCGATAACGGATATTTTTCAAAGGATTAAACTGGGCTTTGACAAGAGGCATAAAATAGGAAAGTGACATGCATGGAATAAAACAAGGCCATTCACGCCATTAAACCCACTCCTGCCACTGATCACATTTAAATTGTCTTAACTTTGAACTCTACTGCTCGTATTTTATTTCCTGAAGAAAATTCTGTCCCATTTCTTTGTGGACCCTGAAGGTAATCAGGCAAAAGCTTTATAATACCTATGAAGCTTTAAAACCTATATAATTCAATTTAAAGATTTAAACACAATCCCAATGGCAGGAATATTTGACCTCTGACTATTCATCCTTTTTTTCATATTGAATTTAAATTGCGAGGCAAATATAGACTTTATCCAACTATATTACGGAGATAATTAACAGCATTATCTGTTTTTGCTGGAAATATTTCTAAACATTCACGGTTCTGTAGGTGGTGATGGTGATGTGGGGGGGAAGCAAGGAAAGAATTGTCTCATCTTTATTCTTGCTTGAGGCTGAATTTATCAGGGCTTAAATCAAACCCAGTAGATCAGACAAAGATCAGAAATGGACTGACCTGATCAGCTGATTGTTCAATGGGTTTTATAAGTAATGTGGAATGCTGTTTTATCATGTAATTCTGGCTTCGGGTTCACGCCCTGGGTTAGTTAATTTTAAGTCAACCAGACAGAGCTACTTATCCTTTGCACCTCCCCTCCCCCCCCAATAAACTCCTTCTTTCATTCATGAATCATTGCTAAAGGCCATAAAAACAGAATGAATTAACGCTGTGGGCTCCAGTTCAGAAAATGTCTCATTGAAGACACTGAAGATTCAATCAATACTTCAAATTTTAGGTCTAACAGAAGCCCTGAGTTTTGACATACATTCCAGACCTCAAAGCAACCTCCAGGAATTGACATGCCGCAGAACGCAACGAATGTTATGGTTTGGTCTCTGTCTATCCTCAGGTGGTGATTCCCACAGCTGCCGGAGGCAACCAAACTACACCATTTTCATTTTAACTCCTTTCCTCTGCAGATTTGTTTTCCTCTGGTGGGATTATGTCCATGATGTTGTCACATGATTTATTACATCCCATGATATCTCTGTAGACTCACAAAATACCAGCAGATGTATTTTTGTAAATTACCACCAAAATTGCAAGGACAAAGGGTAGTTCTGATATGGTCCATCAAGCACATCTTGTATTTTTTGTGGCTATCCTTGCTAAACACACAACTTAAAAAGCTTAACACAAACAATGATGTTGATATTTGCACTCAAGATTTTTTTGTTCATTTTGAACACTGCATACTCTAATATACAGAATTAAATTGCCATTGATCTTCTCTAAATTGAGAAATTCAAGCATTCTACAAGACCTTTCTAAATCACAAGATCACAAGATTGTTTTGAATGAAGAAGGACCTTCAGGCCATCTGAATTCATGCAGAATACCTACCCTACCTACCATCATCCCATCACAATATCAAGCTGCTTAAATGATCCAGACCAACAAAAATACTAATTTCTAGAGAATTGTTTCTGGAGAATGTTCATCACCCTTAAGTGCACTTCCCATTGCTTACGCCCAGAAGCCAGGTTGCAAAGAGCTAAATTCAGTCTCAGATCTCAGGCTGTAATTATTGATGGCTGGCTCACAACACTGATATATATATAAAATATAAAAAAGTGGCAGTGCATTAGTTTTGAGGGGCTAAAAGGTCTCCATTTTTACACTCTTCCATAATGATTCAAATTGATTGCTTTTCACACTCCATGATTGTTTATGTAAATTAAATCCTTATGGATTTTTTTTTACCTGCATGCAATTTCTCATATGAACATCCTTTGTTTCACGAGTTATGTAATAGCCTCAGAAACAACATTTACACTTTTCTTTCCTTCTCAGCTGCGATTATATCTGCAAGCCTTGATGACATAAATTGAACTTCTGTCGTAATTCTAATGATATCGAGATTAATTTTTATCTTTATTTAAAAAAACCTGCATTCAGTAAAGCACTTACACTGTTTGGCTCAGGTTAGTGTTAATCTTCTAACAGCTGCACAGGTATTATGTACAGTAAGTCAAAAGAGATAACTATTATCGGCTAAAATTAGTCATGCAAAACATTGTGCATGCCATCTTTCAACACAGTTTATTCTAGCAACTATTCTCCTCAGAACAACAGATATTTTATGACCATTCTATGTCTATGGCAGACTTGACCTTACTTCACCAACCAGTAAAATATCAGCATGGGAACCCCAACACTTTCAGGATCAACTCCATAGCACACCATCCTTGTACAAATCATTACTATCACGGTTCATTTTGCTGTGATCAAAACTGAACACTATTGGGGATGAATCAGTGCCAGATTGAATGCAGTAGTTTAAAGAATAGGCCAACCACCCCTTTCTTTGGGGCAACAAAGGGAAAGATAATAAATTTTGACTCTGGTAACTGGTGCTCACTTGCCGAGAATGAGTTAAAACATTTTCCCAAATACAGTATTCAAAAACAACAAAATTACATTTGTATAGCGCCTTTCAGGTTGGGAGAACATCCTAAGGCACTAGACAAAGTTTCGGACCCAAGTTGATGGTCGGGGTCGGGGAGGGTGTAGGGCAGGGGGGGAAGCAGGGTGACCAAAAACAGAGTCGAAGAGGAGGGGCTCGAGATGGTTCTTGAAGGTGGCAAGGTGGAGGGACAGTGGAATGGAGTTCTAGAGGGTGGGAGCAAAAGTGGCAGAAGGTCCGCCCGACAATAGTGGGGCGAGCAAGGTGGGGGACATGAAGCAGGCTGGAGCCTGCTGAGTGGAGGGAGCGAGCAGGATGATAGGGGGTTAGAAGGTTGCAGAGGTATGGGGCAGCAAGACCGTGGAGGGCTTTGAAGGTGAGGACCAGGATCTTGAACTGTAACCTCTGTGAGATGAGAAGCCAATGGAGTTGGGCGAGGATGGGGCTGATAGACTCATAGAGCCTAGTGCAGGAGAGGACATAGACTGCAGAGTTCTGGATGATCTGCAGCCTATGGAGGGAGGAGTTGGGGAGGCCAACAAACAATGAGTTTGCATAGTCAATCCTTGATGTAATGAAAGCATGTATGAAGGTTTCGGCGGCCTGCGGTGGAGACAGTGGTGAAGCCAGAGGCAGAGCGTGTCATGGCATAAATGTGGGGTAGAAAGGATAGTTGAGGATCAAACAAGAAGCTAAGGTTCTGGACTGGCTTAGAAAGGTGGAGTGTGCATTCATGGGTGGTGATGCTGTCAGCGCCTGAGGTGAGAATGCGCTGGGTAACTAACAGGTTGAATAATTCCTGAAATAAGATACGCTGATATACTGTGTACCCTAAACGTTCATAATGAATATTGTCACAGTAAGTTTCCACTAACCGCATGATACAGTTTCATCAGATCGGTCTCCACAATCGTCTTCCAAGTCGCAAACCCATGACATTGGGATACACCGCCCACTGGTGCAGGAAAACTGATTGGGCTGGCAAGTCTTTCCTGCGTGGAAACAGCAACAGAACACAACAATCAATCATTCAACAGTTTTTTTCTGCAAGCGCATTATATCTTCACAAGAGACCACCCTTTTTCTCGGGAGCCGAAGTATTTTTTGAAAATACATCACAACCTGCTTATGTAAGACTAAGTAGCTAAGATCAATCTAAAGAAAAGGTGATCTGCTTATTTTTGCTTATTGCCCTTTCAGATCAAAAAGGAAGAGAGAGCCGAGTTTCAAAATATCCCCAAGTAACTTGAACTGCATAGCCTACTCTTGAATTTGGGTCTATACATGCAACCACTCTATTAATCTATTGGGTACAATTGGGCCAAAGTTTGCTGACTTTCTTTTCAACTAAGGTTTGGTTGCATTATACAACAACAACAACTTGCATTTATATAATGGACAGCATCTTGGAGCGCTTAAATGAGCACTCCATGAGCATAGAAATTTCCACCTAATGCCAGTTTGAGTAGTTTCTTTGTGATCATTAATAGAATATGCACCTGTATTTTCTCCCATTTGACTATTTAATTTGTGGCACTTAGATACAGCACCACCTCAGCGATATTATTTAAAGAGCAGTCGTGACTAAGGATTCAGACATTTCAGTTTAAATTGTCATCTGGATTATTTTTATTGAATATTTGAAAAATTAGGTCATTTGTAATTAGAATTTTGGTTACACTATTCTGTTAACTTGCAGAATGTGCAACTTTCTGACAGTGAGCAAATTCATTTAAAAAATCACAGAAAGAAAAGCTTTGTGAAGCAACACAGATGCTAAGTATGGACCTAGGCATAATTACATTGACTGTATGGCTCTAAGCACATTGATTTTAAAGGTGCAACATAGAGTTTAATAAATCAGATGGTTGGTTAGTCAGATGGGAAATTTGGGTTGGAATATTTTCAAAATCCAATTTTGCAAAATCTTTGTATGCTTTTGAAAATGAACAGGTTTGAAAGCTTATTTTCCAGTTTCCTTCAAGGTCAATAGAACTGTCAGATAATGCCTTGTAATTCCAATCAACATATTGGAAGCTACAGCATATGGCCAGTGAAAATACCTTCAGACCAGTGGTGGCAAAATTGCAGTATTCCTAAACCTCACTCTAACATTCCTGATCCTTAATTAAGAGAGGGATTATCGATTGACTGAAATTTGTGATCTCAACCCATCCTTGTCCATTGACATATTTAGGAATAAGGCCTCTCCCCCCTCCCCCAAATTCAGCACAATGGGTTTGACCTGAAACCTGCCATTAAAAATGTCTGCCTTCGAATCCTGACATTGCGGCAACAGCATTGATTCTGTTTGCTGGACCCAGAGGTGTTTTTTGAGTGCTGTAGTTTGAATGCTGATTGACATAATCCCCATTCACTTAGCTGATCTGGAACAATGAGAAGCAACAAACATTTTTTTAAAAATCTCCTCCCCCAATCTTTGGCAGAATGGTTTAGGTCCAAATTGTCAAGGTCGGTAATGTTAAAAGTTGCCTCTACAAACATTATATTGACATATCACACAATGCAACTTGATGAAGCTTTTGCAATGAACGATTTCATGATGTAAAACCAATTTGGGGGGGAGAGAAACAGAGGTGCCACAATTCTATCTCACTGGTGAATCAGTTTCCTGAGCCCCAACACAACGGTTCAATGTCTGATTGATTTTTTCAGTGAGGATCTTGTTTATGGAGTAAGTTATGAAAAGCAACAAATGCCGTAGTGTGTTTTACTGCCCTTTGCTGTCAAACCTCTGATAGGAAATGTTGAACTGATTGGAATGTTGAATTGCTTATTTCTTACACACAGGTTGAGGAGATTGACACTACTTTGTGCTTTGTAGAACTTGGCAGCTGAAATTGAACAAAGTGTTCTTTCACCTGAAACATTCATTTTCATTTCTAGTTTCAAAACTCCAGTGAGGGATAGCATTGACAGACTGGGGAATGTGTGTGTGTGGGTGAGGAGGGGAGGTGGGAGAACAACACGCACATATTATTAAAGGAATAACGGTGCAGCCTAGAGCATTCTCTCACTTCTCTCGTCAACCCAGCCTGAAATTCCAAAACAAGCAAAGTGACATTCAAGCAGAATGCAAACATTTGCTTACGTGTGATGATGGTGAACATACTGTATTACCAACACCCTGCACGTAAAGGGGAACACAAATAATTGTGACAGCTGATTCAAGTGAACAGAATTCTCTTTTACGATTCAGTAACTTGCAATGTTGGCTATGGGAACTTTGCAGCTTGAAGATTCTTAAATTCTAATAATATTAATAATAATAATCCTTGCATTTGATATAGCGCTTTTCACGTTGGGAGAACGTCCCAAAGCGCTTCACAGAACACACTGTAAAGTGAATTGATTGTATATTTGTGGGCGAATGCGGCAGCCAATTGCGCACAGCAATGTCCCACAAACAGTCGTAGATTTAAAATGACCAATTTATTATTGTTTTTTTTGGTTTTGGAGGGATTATTATTAGGCGTGTGGAGTAAGGAAACTTGCCCAAGGTTTCGCCCTCTGCCTGGAATTGAACTCAGGTCTCTCACTTGCAAAGTGAGTGCTCTAACCACTGAGCTACAGGAATCTACATATTATATAATGTTATACATATAGAAAATAAAATCTGGCAATTTGGAAGTCAGATGTGGGAAGGCACTGAGATGTACTTCCTTAGATATAGTGGACATTTACCTACCCAATATATCAGTACACCACCAAGGCTGATATAGATGATGTTAAAGTTCATTCCAACCAGTTGCCCACTTCAGCTGCCTATTCAAGCACTGACTTTGTGTCAACTGTGAGATTGAAATTTGGAAAACATGCCTTGCAAGTTCCCCAGCCATCCCATGGTCAGTGGTGAAGAAAGTGTTATAATTGACGGAACTGTTGCTGCAGCAGTGCCTGCAGTTATTCTGAAACTAGCAGCATGCAACATGTAAGATGTTTAGCAGTCCATGGCTTGCTGCTGACTTGAAACGTACTGAGCTGAACTGTGGAAGTTGAAAACTTCAGTAGTAGAATTGACTTGAATACAGTTAATGGAACAAATAAGATGTAATAAATAAATATTAACCTTTTATTTTAGATGTTGATCGATCTGCGGTGCATTTCTAACATTCCCAGCTTTTAATGAGCAAATAGATAGACAGCTCTCACCTAGCATTAATAATGTTACCAGCAATGAACAGAACACTGTTCGTTTGCTTGACACATACTAGCTGATTCAAATCAATTCCTGCTGTAGAAATGCCCATAATATGCTGACGGTTAATAGAAGAACCTGCACAATACTGTATGAACATCCAACGAATCTGTGCCATAACACACTCCAATGAAACAGATAACAATACCAATAACTCCTGTTCTGAAGAGCACACATACCAGTTCATTGCAAACAGTCATGTATAACAGTTGTAGGAACCACTTACACCATTTCACTAATATTTAAGTGAAGTGAAGAAGGTTATGGTAGTAGATACATTCAGCAAATCGAGATTTCACATTAAATTGTACCTCAGGCACCGGCGGCATCAGCTTCCGCGGATGCACACTCCACCTCACCAAGCCACTCAGGAACCTGGGCATCTTGTTTGACCCTCAACTGTCCTTTCTCACCCGTATCCGTGCCATGTCCCGCTCTGCCTTCCCCCACCACTGCAACATTGTCCTACTCCGTCACTGACGCACCCCTCAGGACGCCAAAATCCTCATACATGCATTATTCACCTGAACGATCAACTCCGGAAACTTCCTCTTTGTTGGCCTCCCCAACACTTCCCTCCACAAGCTGCAGATCATCCAGAACTCTATAGCTCATACCTCTCCCGCACAGAATTCAAAATCGTCGGCCTCACTTTCAAGGCCCTCCACGGCCTCGCCCCTTCCTACATCTCTGACCTGCTGACTCCCTATCAACCTGTCTGCTCCCTCTGCAAAGCAGGCTCCGGCCTGTTCCAGGTCTCCTGCCCGAAGTGCCCTACCATCGGCGGCTGGGCTTTCAGCCTCTCTGCCCCACCCTCTAGAACTCCATCCCAAAATCCTTTTGCCTCGCTCCGTCCCTTGCCTCCTTCAAGGCATGACTCAAGACCCTCGTTTCGACCATACCTTCAGCCATCTTCATACCTCTTTGCCCTCCCTCATCCTAACCCTGCAACCCCCACACTCGGATCCTGATCCCTGACTGTTCAACACCTTGGGACGTCCTCGTGATGTGAAAAGCTCTTTAGAAATGTAATTTTGTTGTTGTTATGCAATATTTTTAACTGTAAGTTCGCCTGCNTTTTTTTTGCTTAGAAACTGCTGGCATTTTTGGGATATCAATGAGGCCGAGAAACCTTATTGCTCTCAAGAAAAAGGGGAATATTGGAACCAAAGGAATATTGAAACAAACTGTTTTAAATAATATGTTTTACAGGCTTGGTGCAGATAGGATTTTGTGCAGATTTTTAGATAACAATTCAATGAGTGGGACATACTTCAGCTAGCACTTTAGCGGAAGAAGTGTGAGAGGGGGAATGACTGCTCTTGTGCTACTTGGATCACTATGATGTAAAAATCTTCATTGACTAAGGCCAGAAATGGTCAAGAAGGATTTCACAGGCATGCCTTTTCATCCAACAGACCTATTCATCAGTATTTTAATTGGCTGGGAATGACATTAACGGGTTGAATTTCTTATAGTAGAGATCTGAAAATGCAAAATAATAAGCCGCTGACAGCAGGAAAGATTACTGAAGGTTTAATTTCTAATTCCAATCAATTTCAAATACAGAATACAAACAGGAAGGTACTTGAAAATGAATTATTTTTTGATCTTTTAAAGTTATAGTAGCTACTTTTGCCATTTAGAATTATGTTAATTGTTTATGTGAGCATTATGCTGAATTAATTGTTACAATTACCAAGTGCAATGTTCATCAGCTTCAGAAATCTTTTTGTTATGCACCACAATGGTTTCTAATAATAGGTAATATTGTACAGTCACAAAAAAAGCCATGAATTGTGGCAAGAAATTATGACAAATGGAGTCAGTAGTCAAGCAGATTTTATTCTAGGCCATCTGTGCTGCATTCTACAGATGCTTCTTGCATTCGAACATTTTATAGCTAAGATAAAGATCTAACGCAATTTATAGCCCTTTGCAGGTACTCAAATTCATTGTCTGTATTGATGATATAATTAAATCAACTATTATATTTCTAACCTTTATTGGACAATTGATTTATAGAATTGAGCTGATTAACTATCAGACAAATCGTGGTATCCTTAGAGAGCAAAAGCAACACACAGTCACTATACTTTACAGTGTATCCTGTGAAGCATTTTGAGATGTCTAGAATATGTGACAAGGCGCTGTATCAAATGCAAGGATTCCTATTATTATTGTATTAATGTTTTCTTAGATTCTAGCTTTTGTCAATATGTTCTTAAGGTAAGAAGACACATGAGTACTGGTAGCTTACTTGAGCCCAAGTAGTTACTAACAGCAACAACTCTACAAACATAGCAGCGAAAGAGAGAAGCTTCTCACAGTCCCTGTTGTGAAACGCCACACGCCAAGCTGCTAGACTTCTCACATAGGTAATTTCTGGCTTGTAAGACAAATATTCATGAGTAGACCACTATTTATAGGTAGAGTGCAATATTGGATGCATCTGTGTCCCTGTAATGTGTTTTACTGGAAAGCTAAACCAAAATCAGACAAAAATGACAGAAGAACAATAGCACTGAAATTAAAGCACCATTATTCAGTTCAACGATAACAATGGAATCCTCTCACAAATAGTAATAAAAGCAACAAAAATTTTGATCTTTGAAAAAGCACTTTCCACGAGAAATGATTAAAAATAGTTTTGAATTGAAGGCTCAAAGGTTGAAAAATACTTACTTTCATGTTGTCCTCAGTAAATTTAGAAATTAAGATAACAACGCAAATAATATAACACAACACAAACTACGGGCTGTAAAGCAGAGGATTTTGTCATGAGATTCCTGGGTGCCGGAATGAACCATATTGGACTCTTCATTCAGGAATTCCTCTGAGAGCTATTGTAAATTAGACCCTTACAGACTACAATAATCAGCTACAGAAATTACCTGAACAAGTTTCATTCGACTCATCCTCATGGTTACCACAGTCGTTTGCTCCATCGCACAGCCACCTCTTTGGGATGCAACGATTATTTTGGCATCGGAAGTGATTAACAGGGCAAGTGCTGTTATCTAGACAAAAAGAATAATGTTAAACAGTTAAAGCCAAAAATGCAAATAATATGATAATTGAAGTCATTTAGAATACTAATATGAATCTGGGATAAATAGATAAATGGATGGCACACGTTGTTTTAAATTCTCTAAGTAGCTGTTTCTAAGGAATAGCTATTTCTATCCTGAATATTGTCTCATAATTTTTATCCTGTCAATGGCAGTAGGGTATATGGTTAAATGTTCAGGTTTTATAGCACCAACTTTAAAGCTACATTTGACTGTGATTTATTTGTTAAATGTTTCCCTAACTATTAAGCAGAATTTCATTGCTTTTAGATTACTCCCTGTTGGTTATCAAAGTACTGGCATTATATTTGCTAAAGGCAAATTGACAAAAGGAAATTTATAAAACAAAGCTATTATGACAATAAATTTAAAAGTATTTTAGATGGATAGGAATAGCTCTGCAGTACATCAATGGATCATTGTGCTCAAAGGACTGATTAAGCTACCAGTTTTCAGACATTCACAAATCATCAGAATGTCTTGCCTGACAATTTGACTTAAAATTATTTTTTTTTTAAAAATCTTGTTTGAATAAATTCACTACGCATCAATTTAAAACTGGAATTAATTTCTTCATTTCACCTTATCGTATAAAAGAAACAAAAAGCATAGAGTAAGAAATTAAGGAGCCATATAATACATTCAAATATAATTGATCTTCCGCTTCGTTTAGATTTATACATCTCAAGTAGTTTGAAGTGGTGGGATTGAAAACCTACAGCAGATGTCTTGATCTTCATCACTTCCATCAAAACAGTCATTTTCTCCATCACATTTCCAGCGTTCTTGAATGCATCTTCCGTTTTTACATGCAAATTCTTCAAAATGGCAGTGCTGAGCAGAGGGAAGGCCTGGCTTTACTAGGAAAAAGATGCCGCAATAAACATTATAATAATACGCAAACATCATTTTGTAAAATGCAACAACTATTAGTACATTAAATGTTTGCTCTATACGTACAATAACAGATATAATAATATCTAAATCTAGGTTAAGCCTAAACCTTTAGTAAGCCTATGCACTTTACAGGAATTTAAATCTTCAGAAATCACTACCAATTGGGCTTATCTCATTGAGGAAGACATCATTCTCCCTGACCAAACTGACAGTTCCATTTCACCACTTCTTCAAACTTACAGATTCTATAATAATTAAATCGTAGGGCAAACCTCCTAAGGGAGATGTGCAATTTTCATCTCTCACCCACCCCGGCAGTTATGAACCAAAGAATGATTCTGCAGTCTCCTTAGAAATACATACATAATTATTTCTCCATTCACTGGACAAGTCTCGAAACAAATTTTGTGTGGATAGCTAGAAATGTGTGCCAACTCTCTCCAAAATAGAAGAAAATGTACATGATGCATTGGTAATAAATAAGAGGAAAGTCAAGTCTTAATGGAGAACATGTAGAAATGAACACTATAATAATGTAGATCATTTTACTTTTTATTCTCTTAATCATAACTAAGTAAATTAGTATAATAACAAATAAAAAGCTGCTATTGTGCGATTAGCATTTGAATTATTTCCATTTAATCAAAATGTATAGAAGTTGAGCATTATTGGCTCCACAGCAACCCTGGTACTATAACTGGTCAAAGATTATTCTTGCAATCTGATTCAGGCTTCTCTTGAACATTTCACCCCAGGGTAGAGAACAAAATCAAAGCACTGATTCTGCTGAAACTCAGTGTCTCAATGTCTGCAAAGTCATCCTCCAGTAGAAGGGGAAAGGAGTCAAATTGCTTTAAGAGTGGTGGAGAGAAAATTGGAGGTGAAAAATGATGAGGGAGTTAGTGAAAAAGAGACTGAAACTGCAGACTGGTGGGTGATTTATTGACAGCTTGTGATTTCAATTTTAAGCAGTGCTGGAATCATAATTTCCAGAGCAGTGAAATTATATGTTGCAGCTCTGCTGGATAACTGTTTCTCTATCATTACACAGTAACAGAAACACACAATGACTGTCTGGAAAACACGATTCGAATGAAGTCCCATGGTCTAGACAAAACGATTAACGCAGCAACTTTAAAGCTTCTCACTGTGCCGTTCAGATTACAGCATTGCCCTCACTACTTCTGCATTGCTAAGACTTGACCTTGTCCTCAGCACCCCTGTAATGGATAGACTTTAAACAGGTAACATGAAAGGCACCATTTTGCATCTGGTAATACAGATGTAGGTTTCAGTTCATAAAGAGTTCAATGGAGTCCAAATATTATTTTAAGTTTTGCTTTTGCAATTGATAGTTCACTTGATGTATGTGTTTGACATCAGAGGACACGCATGATCTTTAAGGTTCTCTAGTGCAATATAATTATATTGGATTACAGGTCCTGGCTTGGGGCAGTTTTAACAGAGCAATGATTACATAAGGTTATATCATTCAAAAAAAAATCCCAGCGCCGACAGCAGAAAAAACATTCATGGGAAATGAATGTTGGTTTTTTTGCTGCAAGAAAATCATAGTCAAATGTAATTTTCTGAAATGGTAGCAATACTCATTTGCCACAAAATGAAAAAAAAACTAATGTCTGTAATATTAGATATATTTCGGAGAACTTTATGAGTAGCTCTGGTTGTAGTTTTATCTGTAGTCATCTCTGGTAAGTTGTTACAGGTTTTTCGTATAATGAAGTCTGAGCAATGAATTTTAGATGCTTTTACTTGGGTGTTTCAATTCAAAAGGTTGAGAATTATATGTCTGCGGATAACCCTGGTATACAGACAACTGTAATAAGTATTGGTTAGTATCGCAGTTCAGTTCACTTGGCCATGGTCAGTCATTTCACTTTCAGAGGTTCAAGCCGCTGATCAACAAACTTGTTGTTTGGAAAAAAAGATTCTTTTGTGGAGTACTTAGAACATCAGGGAAACATGTACATGCTGTCCATCACACCTTGAAACTTATACTAGTGAGTGCTAAATTAGCCAATCATAGCCTCAGGTGCTTTGGTGCAATTGATCTCAGGTTTTGGTCTCAGTGGCAAACGAATAGGCAGCGTTCCAACTCCTGAATGCTCTCCAACAATATTAATAATAATAATCCTTGCATTTAATATAGCACCTTATCATGTCTTCAAGACATCTCCAACCGCTTCACAGAATACACTGTAAAGTTAATTGACTGTATATTTTGTTGGCAAAATGCAGCAGCCAATTGCGTACAGTGTTATTCAACAAACAATCATGGATTGAGTGACCAAATTATTATTATTATTATTTTATTATTTGAACCCCCCTCCTCCCCCACCACCTCCCCTTTCCTGGTAAATATGTGTGTGTGTTTGGATGCAGCAAACAGTCTGAAAGTATCTGAAAGTAGGCCAGCTAGATGAAGGGCGCTATTTAAATGCAAGTTGGTGTTGTTGTTGTAGATAAAGGAGCTACAGATGTATGGGGAAAGGGAAGGTAAATGGGACTGAAAGGTTTAGGGAACCAACAAACATGTTGGGCCAAAGGTCCTTCTTCTGTGCTGTACATTTCTACGTTTCGATAGCACTCGTGTGAAATAGTATCCCGGTAAAGAGGCCTCGCTTTCAGGAAAGGAAGAGGGGAGAAAAAGGGCAAGATAAATATACTTAGCTGCCTTCCTACCTCTCTGGCCTCCCTCACCCTAACCTTGCCCCCCCCCCCCCCCACCTTGTTCCCAGCGCCTTGGGACGTCCTCCTGACGTGAAAGGCGCTTTACAAATGTCATTTTGTTGTTGTTATTAACTTTGACAGATATCTAAAATGGCAGTGAAATCCAGATTTACAAACTATTGCTCACAGCTTGAAAAGCAACAATGAAAGAATCCTGCATGGAAAAATGATCGACTCCAGCAAGATACTTTCTGCCACTGAGTGGTTAGCAATTCTAATGGGTTCTGATGCTTAAAGTTAACATGCATTTCATTAGCTTTGGCAATGGAATACCTTTCGATATTTATTACAGAATTTCTCCTCTGTACCAATTGTTATCATAGTTGCAAATAAATGTTGACTGCTAGGTCGGGGGCAGTGGAGAGGCCAAGGTACCTTGTCGGTAACTATATCTATCCTGTGTGACTTGGTCTTGCCTCAATTTGTTCAACATTTCTCCAGTGGGATTTCTTTTACATTATCTGCTTTGGGTTCTGTGGCACAGAGATCAGGGCTTAGAAAGGCAAGTCAGGTATTTAACTTGGCAGGTTTGTTCACTGGCGGGCACAGAGAATCTTTAGACCTGCAGATACAACACAAAATTACATTTGTGCAGCGCCTTTCACATCAGGAGGACGAGCCAAGGCACTGGGATCAGAGAACTCTCGTCAGTAGAGTTCTTGCATGGAATAGAGTCACAATCTCGGAATCTGCTAAACCATCGAGTATCCAACATCGAAATCTCATTCAAGTATGCTAAACATTATTTATGAATGAATTAAAACATTGTGACACATTATTCAGTTGGGACTGACTGACTGCCAAAACAGATAAGCATCAATCCTTGTGTGTGTTCACAAGGTCTTATTTTTACAGTATTCTCTGAATCATTCCCAACTGTTTTGCCTCAGTCAGGAAGTTGCAAAAGACAGCTAGACCGTCATAGCATTGGATAGAGACTAGTTAGAGAACCTGCTCTAGCCATAGCCTCATGTCTCAGCAGTGGTCATTAAACATACGTGGGAATGTGAAGAATCTTGTAAGTTCCCAACAAGGCCCCTCAAGAATAGTTCCAGGCTAGCTTTTCAACTTTGGGAATTATTTATTTCCAAACGTTTGTACTTTGCACGTCCTATTTGAGCTCAGCATTGGTAAAACAATACTGAGGGCAGAAATAGCAGACATCTGTGAGTCATTTCCCTCCAAGCTTAAAGGAAAGTACAATCTGCTGAATTTCCCAACATGGTAAATGGACAAAGGAAAGAGATCTGGACACTTATCCGTGACTCTCAGACTTTCTTTGCCTTCCCTATTACTTTAGATATATTTGTTAGACTCAATAGGGGAGCAGATATTTTGTGCCAATTCCCCCACTAGTCACATTATATTCCAACTATGAAATGAAACTCCATAGTGAAATGAAAGGGGTAATGGAAAGAGGTTCAATTCTTGCCATTAATCCCATTTTGCCCACAAAATATAGTCAATTCACTTCACAGTATATCCTGTGAATCTCGAAGACATGATAAGGCGCTATATCAAATGCAAAGATTATTATTCTTATCATTATTATTAATATTAATTATTCCATTAATAATGCAAAAGCAAGAGAGATGTTCCACACTGAAGCATCCTGGGTGAGTTGTTCTTGGCATAAATTGATGCTTCATGGGAATATATATATATATATACTAGCTGTACCCATTGCAGCTTCGCTTGCAACCAAGGGATATAGATTGACACACAGACAGACATTTCGTCTTTATCTATATTCAGCTGGGAGGACGCCTGTGGGATATTTTCCATCACAGTCTCTCTCAGTCTCCCTCTGTCTATCTCTCTGTCTCTCAATCTCTCTCTCTCTCAGTCTATCTCAGTCTCTTTCTCTCTCTCCCTCTCAGTGTCTCTCTCTCTGTTTCTCTCATTCTATCTATCTCATTCTCTCAGTCTTAGTCTCTCTCCTCTCTCAGTCTCTCTCTCTCTCTCTCAGTCTGTTATTCTTTTAGTGTTTCACAGTCTCTCCCACAAAACACACAGTCACTACACTTTATAATATATTCTCTCTCAGTCTCTCCCTGTCTCTCTCAGTCTCCTTCACTATCTCTCTCTCTCTCTCTCTCTCACACACACACTCTCTCTCCGTCTGTCCCACATGTGAGGAATCGAGCTCGCATGACACCCAGAAAAAAGTGCCATTCATTTGTTGCAGAATATAGATGTATCTCTCTGAACAGTGTGTGCTTTCTTCTGTCGCTACGTAGTTGCAGAATACGATGAATGCCTCAAATCTTGGTGCTTAATTAAAGCATTTTTTTAATATAACTGATCAACGATAGGAGATCCCCCAAAAATATGCAAACGACACTGCCAGATGCAAGACCTATCTGATGAGTTATAAATCATGTCTCTACGTCAATCGGATGATTGTCGGATACACAGACAAACAGACATTTTGTCTTTATTAGTATAAATAGATACCATTGCTAAGCTTTGCTATCTTATGAAACATATATTTGTAATCACTTAAACTTTATAGACTATTAGATTTTGTAAGGTGGTTAATATGCTGTTATGCATTTTGCTTATAAAGGAAGTTATTTAACAAATGTACTGCTGTACCTTTTAAAGTGGAATTCTGCTGAGTACCTTTGTAACGTTGATAGAAACGAATAGTGTCTGTTTTTCCTTTATCTAATGTCCTTGTGTAGATATGTAGAAAATATGTAGAAAAGAGATGTGTGACTAGGGGCTTTGGTATGCGGAAGTGGAAGTAAGGGAGTGCACTGTCATCCTCTGAGACACTACCTTACATGGAGGGTGCTATATAGGTGCAAGTTGTTGTGTCGTCGTTGTTTCAAACTCTGAGAAACCGAATGTAGTAGCAGGAAGGGGAACCAATGTGAGTTGTTGAAGACGGCTTTGTTCTCTTAAGTAAAGTGCAGCATGGGTTAATGTTAATTTGATAAAAATGCAGCAAAACTCGCATAAGTCTTCTCATTATAAATCGTATAATCGCCTAAGTCATACATGCACACAAGTCCAATTCAATTTCCTACCCAAAAACACTTAGATTTCTTTGTACTGAAATCAAAGTTCTCAGGGCTTTGGGACGTCCTCCCGATGTGAAAGGCGCTCAGCAAATGTAATTTTGCTGTTGTTGTACTGGTCATATTTTATAAAACAAATCATCTTCTAACTCGTAGCGCGCCACTACCACACTTACCGGCTGCATTGAATCGCAGGAAATGGTCTGACCCATTGATGCCTGCGCACTTACTGGCTGGATTGACATTGGCATGCGCAGTGTAGATTATTGATCAAATTAGATTTTATACAATTTATCCAAATTAGTCTGGAACTCATACTTTGCATAAGTCACAACAAACGTTGTGGTCCCTACTGATACAACTTATGTGAGTTTACTGTAGCCACTTGTAAGAGAAGTGTATAGATAGATAATGAAAATTCTCACGTGATTGGAAAGCGATGATGGATTGAAGGAGAAAGGTGGAGCACAAGATCAGAAATATCTTATTAAGGGGATATAAGTATTGGTCACCATCTAGCCTAAAGTTGAAACAGCCTCCAGAGGACAGAAGAACATAATTACACTGTTTCCCGGATCGTTAAATATACCTTTCTGTACAAGCGCGTTCCTATATACAGGTTTGTTTAAATAAAAATAAATTATTGGAGGAGCACCTATCTTTGTGAGCTTGGTTATCTTAGTTCTGAAAACCTAAAAGTGTATAAATTAATAGTTGTATTTAAAGTAAATAGAATATAGCATTGACCCATTGCAGTGAACAACATAGTGACTGCTGAAGTTCTCTCAAGTCTGGTTTCATCTTAAAATGTGGCCAATAGTTAGTAAAGGAGACAATTAGGTCACTCAATCTAATGATAACTTTGGTATAGACTGTCCAGAAGTTCTCAAGAACCAGTGGTTGTCCTCCTTTGGGAAACATTGGTCTATGTTAAAGATCCAATAGCAGTCTTTAATAAGAGAAGGGCATTTTTCCTGCTGGCAGGGTCAACAATTCCCTCAGTAAAATATACAATCATTCCACTTTATAGTATATCCTGAAGTGCTTTGAGATGTCCTCCCAACACGAACTGTGCTATATCGTGTGTAAAGAATATTATTATTATTACACCTTTAAGAAAGAACGATTGGTATTCAAAACACACAATAAAGCAGAAATAAAGTATGATAAGAAAAATGGCTCGAAATAATAAGCCATACGACAACTGGAATGAGAAGAAATGGAAAGTTAAATTCACTGGAGAACTTACATTTGCAGGTGACGCCATCCTCATCCAAATATTGACCATCAGCACAGGCACATACTCTGCCTCCAGGGATTAGCAAGCATAAACTGCTACAACCACCAGTGTGGCCTCGACATGGATTTTCACCTGAAAGGGAAATTATTCAAAATTAGAAAAATCACAATTGAAAAGAACAAAATGCAAGTAGGTCTAAATTACATTAAATTAGTTGTGATTGATGGATAGCCCCAATAATACAACATTTTCTTTCCAATTAATCAGCTAACATATGTGTTAGTTGCTAACATAATGGCACCTTCCGGGCCTCTTTAGATTGCAATGACTTTATCAATTATATCCTCAGAGTAAAAAAAGCATCCAGTATAGTTTCCTTATGTTAGTATGTAACAAAAAATTTTAGACATTTTCAAAAGTTAGACAGTACAGAACTTCAGTACAGATTCAGAAGTTTTCTTTAATACCATCAGGCTTTCAAAGAAAATAATGATGGGTCTTATTACACATATCATTATATTTCTTCTAAAAAAGCTCTGAAGTATTATTCAACCATTAAATATAAAAACTGCTACTCAGTCTTGATTTCAGGATTATAAATGCAACATCAAAGGTTGGAAAAAAATGTGATCAACAAAGTTTTAAATAGGCCAGTATTTAGCAAAACCACACTTTGATATCAGAAAAATAAGATTCAAAGCAGCTTTTCAGAATTACTTCTCACTTTAGCTTCAGAAGCTTCATTTTACTTAAGTAAATATGTGCAGAAGAAAAATACACCACCAAAAAGGGCTTTAATAATAGCAATTAGTGACAATGCGTACAAAGAAGGAGTTAGACTGGTTTGACCATTTTGATGAGGCAACAAATGCTATACCTTTATACTACTTAAGAAACCACTTCAATAATAATCTTTAATAGTTGAGTTTCACCAACAAAATACACAGTCAATCCACTTTATAATATATTCTGTGAAGCACTTTGAGACGTCTCAACGATGGGATAAGGTATTATATTTGATGTAGAGCCTCATCACGACAGAGACAACTAAAACCCACATTGCAGTTTCTTGACTGAAACAATTATTTGTAAAGGTTGCAGTAAAACACATTCAGTCTTAAGGCATTCATCTAAACGCAGGCACATTATTTGCAACCTTTTGTGTTTTGCGTGGACTAATGAATGTGTGTCAAGAGTTGAGCATTGACATTCAAGGGTGAACAATTGTATGGTTAATTCAAGGGTAAATATGTTTTTCAGTAACAGAAACACATCATTAATGCAAATGAGACTTGTGAACTATATATAATTGGTATAATTTATCAAAATATTTTTATTGAATGAAATTCATAGGAGGTGAATTCCAGCTTCATTTTAGCAGCACTGTAATGTGCTTAGAAATCTATAGTACAGCATTTATCAGGTGACATTTAAAATAAATATTTAGGGCTTCTAAGGTTAGGGAAATCTATGAACTGATTTTCATTCAGCGCTAGGTTCCAATTAACCGCTTGACATCCCTTCACCTCACTTACATCTGGAGTTTTTCCTGACTTTTGAGAACAAAGACTTTTTAACAATCATTGCTCTGGAAGGTCCTGTTTCTGAAGATGAGTAATCAGAGTATTACTTTGTGCTTCGGAGTTTCTGTCCACGAGTGACTGAAGAGAGTGAAATCAATGTTACTCAAGCGAGATCAGCCAGGAGTGCTATAGAACAGTAAATTGTTGCTATGGGCATCATATTGACCCATGTAACAACTCATTTTTAGCCATCAAAACACGTCAACAGTGAAATGCAATGAACCTTACAGTATAGAGCTGTCAGCCATCGTGCTTAAAATGTAAGCTGTGGCACCTCCACTTGAACTCCAGCAGGATAGATTTTTTTTTAAAAAATTAACTTCGTTGTTAAATGATCATTAGACTCTGACGATGATTTATAAACCATTGGATTTTCTGTGCGTGCAAGTGTGCAGCCCAAACATTTATATGGGTCATTACTGATATCGCTCATACGAATGCTTGGTTGCATTGCAGCATTGATGAATTTTCAGTGTGTTTAAAGTAAATTGCTACTTGATTACTTAGTCAATACATTGCCCCTGGCAACAAGGGCAGTTTTTTTTTATAAAACCTATTTTTGTAAGCATAGTCTGCTTTCGCTTTCTTATGGCTTCAGTGTTATTTTAAATGGAGGGAGCTCTTGTCTGCAGAGATCAGCTAAATGGATAACGAGCAGCTCAGGTTGTTATGTAAAGTAAAACTGCTTAATCCGCAAAGCAACAGAATAAATCTCGTTCGGCAAACATCTCAATGCAGGTTAGTTAGTCTAACATGATCCATGGTTCTTCAAAGCTCCTCAGCATGGGCTGTTATTAGTCTAGCACCTTTGCCTATTTTTTTAACAAAACCTTTTTTTTAAAAGCAATACTGCTTTGATGGGAAGCAAATTCACAAATGTTTGTTGGGGGGTGGTGGTGGTGGTGGGGTGGGGGGGTTAGTGGCTGGGTGGGATACCGAGAGAGAACCAGAGAAATGTATACAAGCAAAATAATGACTAACATATGATTTAAGTTAATAGGAAATAATTATCCTCTGAATTATATAGATATATTTTTTGACACCAATTGTTGCCTTCTTCTTGAATGAAAGCGGTCTGTTTCTGCTGTGGAATTCTCTCTGTTACTTTGCACCAAGTAACCATTCCGCATGTAGGTGTCCAGACTAGCGCTGGGCAAACCACAGCCTGTGTGCCGTCAAGATGCAGTTCCCCGAACATTTTGTCTAGGTCAGTCCGTGTTCAATCGGAAGTCTGATTCTAGGGTTTTCTTTTTTGAATATTTCTTGATTTCTGCCAGAAATCAAGAAATATTCAATCAAGAAAACTTATGTTGTTGGCCGACTAAAAAGGTTGGTCATCATCACTAACCTAGACAATGAATGCTGGTCACTATGAGACAATGGACAACAATAACCACAGACAAATTAAATTTTTTTGGCGCCTTCACGTCGGGAGTTGGATCCGACCAGAGGGTTTGGGATTGATGGGGTGAGGTGTTGGAGACCAGGTGGGGCAGGTGTAAGAGGGCGGCCAAATGAGACGTGCTTTGAAGGAGGCAAGGGAGAGAGCGAGGCGAAGGAGCTAGCAGATGGAGTTCCAAACAGTGGGGGCAGAGAGGCTGAAGGCGCAACCTCCGATGGTGGGGCGGGCTGGCGGGGGCCATTGAGCAGGCCGGAGCTTGCTGAATGAAGGGAGCAGACAGGTTCATATGGCGTTAGCATGTCACAGAGGTAGGAAGGAGCAAGAACGTGCAGGGCCTTGAAGGTGAGGATGAGGATTTCGAATTCTGTCCTCTAGGTTATGGGAAACCAGTGGAGTAGGGTGAGGGTGGGGATGATGGGGTCACGGAGCCTGTGCGGGAGAGGACACAAGCTGCAGAATTCTGGATGATCTGCTGCTTGTGGAGGGAAGAGTTGGGAAGATCGACAAACGTTAAAGCCAAGTCTCATCCTGATGCTGTCCTCATTCTGATGCCTCCACAGGCACTCCCTCAAGCAGGATAGCAACCAGGATAGCAGTCCCGTACTTCGGATGAGACTTTAAACCAAGGTCCGGTCTGCTTGTTCAGGTGTTTGAGATCCCATGGCACTATTCGAAAAAAGGAAGGAGTTTCTCCTGATGGGTCAACAGTCATCAGGAGAACAGTCCCTCAAATAAAATTGATTATTCACTTCATGGCTGTTTGTGGGGAAGTTGATGTGCACAAATTGGCTGCCGCATTCACCCACAAATACAGTCACTCCACTTTACAGTAAATACCTTGGGACATCCTTCCGATGTGAAAGATGCTATTCCAAATGCAAGGATTATTATTATTATTATTGGAGTGTGAGCTCTGCCAAGCATTCCCCTCTCTAGCCCTGGAATGCTGAAGACTATTGTAGAATCACAACTACAGTCTGAGGTCAACATCTTTTTGAACATTACAATGGGACCGTTAACATCCACCTGCTCAGGCAGATTGGACCTCAGTTTAAATGTTACTCCGAAGGATAGCATCTCCACCAATGCAGCACTCCCTCCTGCACTGCATTGAAGTGTCAGCCTAGACTATGAACTTGAAGTCCCTGATGTGGTGCTTGAACCACAACCTTATAACTCAGAGGTGAGATTCCTGTTGTTGCAGTCGTAAAATTAATAATAAAGGAAATAAATTTATGTATTTAAATAATGATTAATTATCGGATTCAGATCTGAATATTAGAGGATTCAGCCCCAATTATACTAAATTATCTGAAACAAGAATGAAGAGCAAATGTATATTTTTTCCAATAGGTATGGTGGTGGTAGAATGGAGAGTTAATTTTTTCCTCTGTGACAGGTATCCAGAAAAAAAGGTTGGTAAGCAACCTTTTGCCAGTGCTTTGAGAGCAAGGCACTTCATATTATTTTCTGAGACTTTATTTGTGATTACTGTACAATAAGTTCCAGCATGTCAGTTCACAGCTTGAGTCTTCTATTTCTGGAAAATATAGTCTTTCACAAACCTTTATTCCTTACGACTTTCCATACTTGAGAGCTTGCACATAACTCGCCTCATAATTTGTTATCATTAGGTTTCGTTTTCACTTGACTGTCTTACACCCATTGACTGACAATTATAGTACGGCAAATTTGATAAGTATATTAAGTTTATATAAGGCAAGTTTATATTAAGTCAACTGTTTACCCTCCCTGTCTCCACCCCTCCTGATTCCAATCCCCAGCTCAAGTCCCTGACTGTCCAGCGCCTTGGGACGTCCTCCTGACGTGAAAAGCGCTATACAAATGTAATGTGTTGTTGTTATGTATCATAATTAGAATACTGTCATTTGACACTTCTCTACTCACATTAAGTACCAATGTCCTTTCCTTTTTTGTAAGCAAAGTCACAGTACACCCATTGCAAGCAATCACTTTGCTATCTCAATATACTCTGTTTAAACATTGGAATACCTAAAAAAAAGACCCTCTTCTGTTTGGAATGAACTACCACAATCTTTTCCAACAAACACAATGTGCCTTTCCATTTTAACCCTCAAGAACTCTGCTCTGTTAGAGGATTGCATCAACAGAGAGTTCCTATGAGG